TGTAGGAGTAGGAGCATGGAGTCAAAGCCAATAGGCATGTGCAAAAGTGTGCAGGAGGTTGAAACTAATTGTGAGGTACCCGCACAAGGGATCATACCTGGGAGAAGTCTGAGTATCCCTTGAGCTGCTAGTACTTCGGCCTTTGGCCTTTCAGGGAGTTTCTTGTCCACCCTTGTTATTTTTGCTTTATTTGTGCATTGAGGACATTGCATAATTTTAAGTGCGGGGTGAGGAGAATGTTTGGATAATTTTTTGCTCTATCCTAGGTTAGTTGTAGTATTCTTTCTTAGTGTAGTAGATTTTATGTAAAGAAAAAAAAACAATATTTGAAAAAAAAACAAAAATAAAAAAAAGTAGAAAATTTGGACTTTTCCCGACGATGAATTTTGTGGACACTTTTCTTGAGGGATTAAAGTCTAAACAAAAATTCAAAAATATGTCTTCTAGTTTCCTTTAGGTAGTAATAATCCCCTGTGGTTTTTCTTTGTGCCTCGGTTCTTTTTCATGGGATGTAGTTTAAACCGGGTAGTAGTTTTTCCTTTTATATTTTTTTTTATTTTTTTTATAGTAGATTAGAATTTAGGTAATAAATGGAGGAATAATGATGAACCTAGGCGCCCTTGACTTGTTTGATAGTAGCATATTTAGGCTTTGGCATGTGTAGTATCTTCCCTATGATTTGAAATTATTGATGATGCCTTGCTTACTTGGATAGCATGTTTTGTGACACCTACGTCTCATTTTCTTGACTTATGTTCACTTTGTGCTTAATGCTTAATATCTCGTGACTCCGTGAATACTTGTATTTGTTTGAGAGTCGGAATGAGACCGTTCTTAGTGAGTCATGTGCCATGTGTGTTGAGGTTTTTGTATAGTCTATGTATTGTACTTGTGTTTAGAACTTGCCCGGTATGTGAGTTGAAGCGAAATTTTAGGTGATGCTCGGTTTGAAAAATGATTTTAGGCTTTATTTGATCTTTTGAGCTTATTGCTTATCACAAATAAAACTTATCCCTAGTTAACCCTTTTGAGCCTATTGACTTTTATTTGGCACCCACATTACAAGCATATACCCTTTTTGTTCTTAAATTGAATTGTTTTGATCCTTTTACCTTTTAAAGCACTTTAATTGTGAGATGAGCGCTAAAAGAAGTAAGAAGGAACGAAGTGTGGGGTGACTTTTGAGTGGAACCAATAAAAGGAAGAAAGGTGCACTTATTTTTTTAAAATAATACACCACTAGCGGAAATTGAAAAAAAAAGAATAATCTGGAAAAAAAAATAGAAAAAAGAAAAATAGAGATGAATAAAATGTTGTCTTGTTCTTGCTAGTGGGTATGAATTAATGTAGTGCTTAAAGAAGAAGGGAGCATTTTTGGGGTGATATTATTTGTAAAATTGAAGTGGTGTTGAAGAATTTGCGCTTAAAGTTGATTATATGATGTGTTAAAGTGCTTAGGAGGGTTAGTCACTATTCCTAAATATATCCTAACCGTCCCCTTAGCTCACATTACAACCATGAAAAAGACCTAATTGATTTTATATCGAGCGAACCTACATTAGTAGAGATTTACATTAAGGCAAGCCTATGGTACCAATTACATGCATGTGACTTCTTTTGTGAGGGTGAGCGATTTTCTTTGATATATGTGAGCATGAGATTCGAATGTGTGGATTGATTTTACTTTCTTTGCTTTGGTTGTGAGGGCACATGGTTTCACGAAGGATAGGTAACATTATTAGACTTCTCTAGGATATTGGGTGTTCAAGCCATGAGTGCATTGTGACATTGAGTCGGTTTTTGTGGCTAGGATTGTTGTGAGCATATTGTCTTTGTTTGAATATTTTTGAAGAATGACATAAGTAAAGGGAAGTGTATGATGATTGCATATGCTAGCGTTTAATTGTTGCTATCAACCATAATCATTGGTGTAGTGTGCTTCGAATATGTTAAGTGCTCATAGATAGAGTAAATTTTTGGTTGACTCGAGGACGAGCAACGTTTAAGTGTGGGGTGTTGATGATAGGCTATAATTACGTATTTTAGTCGATTATTACACTCTAATTTACTGCACTTTAATTGAGTTTGAGCTTTAATCGCTAGTGTTTTGCACTAATGGTGTGTTTTATGCCTTGTAGGAGTGATTCCGAGCTATGTAGATATTATGGAATGAATTCAAGTGATTTGGAGCTTTGAAGTCTGAGTAAAAGTTCAAGGAATTAAGTCGGGATCGTGTTTGAGGGTCAACGGATGATAGTTAGAGCGAACGAAGACTCGAGTAGGCATATTGCACACTGTCTAGTAAAATACACATAACTTTTTGCTCAGAACTCCATTTGTGCTCTACAATATATGTTTGGAAATATACCTCAAAGGGCTTCAACTTTCATGTTCTACTCTTTTCCAAATTCGAAATGGAACAGGGTGAAAAATGCGCGTCAATAGCGCGATCGCGCTCAGGTCGCGCTCGTCAGGCAGAACACTAGGCCACTAGCGCGATCGCGCTAGTCAAACCCGGGAAAAATATCCTTTTTCACATTGGAGAAGGTATAATTGTTTGGGCCAAACCCTACTTGGTATAAATACATGGAAAACGGTATTTTGAGGCAGCAGGACGTTTTTGAGAGGAAAACACAAGCACAGAGCCGCCGTGGAGGCCGGGTTTCGTATCTTTTCTACCACCAACCTTAGTATTTTTAATGTTTCTTTGTATAATTTGTTGTTTTGTCTACCATGTCTATGTGAGTCTAAACTTCACGTTCTAGGGTTGTGGTTCTTTCTATGACTATTGTTATTCG